CACATGTTGTTGTTGTCGTTGCTGCTGCTGTTTTCTTCCTCATATTCTTGTGCGTAGTGTTCACGACATGTTGTGAAATTAATCCGGTTTGGAAAGCTTTTGAATGCCCTGCAAATTGAAGATAAAAGAGGGGGTTTTGAACGCAGTTTAATCAAAAGTCAAATGGTTATTCCTATAGATTGTATAACTAACTGGCTTAAAGGCCCAATTAGTGGCTTGTTATAGTCAACCAACTTGCTCTTAAGTGTACAAGTACAAGTGAAGCTAAAATTCATGTGAGCGCATAAAATGTTGAGTTGCTGTCAACTCCTTTTGTTGTGTTTTATTTTATATTTTTTATTTTTGTGTCTTTGTCTGTTTGCTGCCTTGCACAGTGAGTACAACTAAGTACATTTTTCGTTTTTTCTTTGCGCATTTCGTACAACTAGACGTATACTTTACTTTTGTTTGTGGCAGCCGCAATGGGAGCAATGGCAGCGAGTGCGACGGCAGCGCACGATTCGTTTATAGAAAATATGCCAACGGCTCTATTACGACTTCTTCAAAATTTACAGTCTGTTGCCTGCCAGAACTCAATGCTTATACATACATACGAGTATGTGTGTGTGTGTGTGTGTGTGTGTGTGAGAGTGTGTGTTGAAATGGAGTAAAGCGTGAGGCGTTTTTTTTTGTATCTGGCACACACTTTTTGTTTTGTGGCAAAATGAAAAACTCGAGCCAAGTTTTGCACTGCAATTATGATTACTCCATGGTGCGCGCTTCTCAGGCTCTCCATGCGACGCCCCGCCATCTCCACCCCCCTCCCAGTTTTCCACTCACACCCTTGTCACCCGTTCTTTCACGCTGGCCGTTTACATGCCTTCCACGCTCATTTAATGTATTTCGCAAGTTTTTGCTTTTTGTCTTGCGGCTGTATTTTTTTTATATTTCGTTATAGCTGCCACCACTGCTGCCGCCGCTGCCGCTGCCGCCTCTGTTGCCGCGTTTTGCGCTTTTGTTTTTAGCCGGAAGTCACTCAAGTGTTAATAATTTCATTATTTCCGTTACGCTGCACACACACATACTCATAGATATGTGTGTATGGTCGTTATATACACACATATGATGCACATACGTTACAACTGGCTGACTGGCAGGCTTTGCTCTTCTGACTTCGGACGTTGGCTGGCACGGCTCATTTTCGTTGATGTTCCTGTTGTTGCTATCTCTTTATACTAGAAGAAAAAAAAAAAACAAACTTGCTGCATGTGTAATTTTGCGCTTTTTCGTTGGATGTCCCGCACTTTTTTCTGCCTTTCGCTTTTTGTCTTTTTTGATGGCAAAAAATGTAATTACATACACCAAAAGTAGCAGCGGGTGGCCACATCTGTGCCTGTCTATTGCTATGTGTGTGTGGGTGTGGGCTCATGTTCTAAGCACTCATAGAAGCCAGTGCAAAAGGAATGTGTGCTTCACATCAAAGGATATAATTTAGAGGGTCTTAAATAAATTAATACGTTACCCGGTTTAAATTTGAAACTTTTTTAATCTACTTTAGTTTGTACCAGCCCGTTGCCTAAATAGGCGTAAGCGTGGCATTGTATGTACTCGTACGTGTGTATGTATGTGTTGCTCGTAGATAAGAAGTAACCTTTTCGCTTCCGGCAAAACTACTTAAACAGCTCAGTATCTGCGTATCTGCAGTAAAGAATAAAGTCCTCTAATTGCTTGTTGCTTTGGACACTCAAGCATGGAAATAGGAGCTCGGCAGGCGTCTTCTCAAACACCCAGTCACAACGCAGCCATAGTATTCCTTCGCCATAGCTATCAACTAATTATCATTATTCAATTAATGCAATACTACTTGTCACAGAAAATAGTCGAACAGAAAATATATATGGAGTTATTATTTTTACTAAAGCTACTTTACAGCTTCAGTGTATAATAAAAAACTTGGACTAATAACTAGACACATTTTATTATTTTCCTTTTCTCTTGTAATATATGTTTGGTCGTTAAATTGTTAATGTTAATGTTTGTTGGTTAATAAAGACAATTTATTTATGATGACCCGTCAATAAATAAACTTAATAATCTTTCTTGATATTAAAACGAGTTCCTTTAATTATTTACTTCGCTATAATTTAAGGAAATGACGCCTTTTTTTAATGGTAAAAACTATATTCTATGCCGGTACATATACTTGTATTTCTTTAAAAAAATGACTCGTACTTGTGCAATGCATCAAATGTTGTTTAAGCCTAGAACAAACGTTTTTTAATATATATTTTTTAGAGTACATTACAATCGATTTACGGCTTATTATAATAAAAACTGATTTTCTTTTTAACTATCGATTAAAATCATAAACAAACATTTTTTTATAGTATTGTTTTTCAATAGTGTTTGTTGACAATGTGCAGACAATTTTTTTTCCATTTCGTCGAATTAATATCATTTTTAATCTTATATTTTTTTGGAAGCCGCAGTTAAGGTTGGTTACTGTAGTATTGGTATCCTGTTGGCTGGAAAAAATTTATTTGTGAACGTTGCAGTATGTTGGAATATTTAACGATCGAGCTGTAATTTCGCAGCAACTTTTATGAGTTCATTATTCCCATTAATTCTAAATACTTTTGTTCATTTGTATCGAACATGTTTTTTGAACTAAATGCTCTCCATACCGCCACTATTGCTGCACTTGCGGCAGTTCTGCCTTTTCAATTTTAATGTATGGTGGCCATGATGACCCAATTTTTAATTATTATGCCAAAAAGCAATAGCCGTGATTTGGCCTACTTTGTCACATAATTTAGGTCAAAGTAGAGCTCTAATAACGCCTACTACTAAATACATACGAGTATATGGCAAAAACTGTGCCAGCAGATTTGATTCGTGAATGTGCGTAAAAGAAAGATCTCTGTTTTGTCATTTGTAATTTAAATACAATTCATAAGATTATCATCAATATATTTATGTTACAACAATCTATATAATCTAGCACAGTTTTTTTAAAGCACATACTTACCTTACAAGCGCATATATATATAACTAAATACATATGTATATACTTATAAGCATTCATTGCATGGGCAATCATGCGTTTGGAACGGGTCATTGTGAAAAATTGTGGTTCATTCAGGCAGTGAGCTCTAAGCTCGAGCATGGCGCCCTTGATGTGCTCACAGTGTGCAACATGGTCTGGTCGCGTCTGGTGTGGATGGTTCTGGTCTGCTCCGGTCTGGTGTGGTGTTGTGTGGTCAAGCAAACGAAGCAATCAAAATAATGGCGGCAAATGCATGCATACAATGAAAATAATTGCCGGTAATCCTTGGTTACTAATTTGTGCGCTTCGGCGTTGGTTCATTGCTGGTGATGTAACATTGTAGTTACATACATATAGTATAGTATAGTATAGTTGTTGTTGTTGTTGTTGTTGCTACTGTTGTACAAGCTGCTGAAGCATTTTAGCCATCCACAGTGGCACTTTTCATTATTTATGAAAGCTTATTTGGCATGAAAACAGGGAGAGTGGCAGATTCACAAACACATATTCCTATACGAAGGGATATACAACAAGGCACATGTTGTAACCGCAAAGCCACAACGACCACGCGCGCTTACACACACACACTCACACACACACAGAAACACACCCACATACATACATTTGTATGTGTTCATTTATATTAAACTTGTATGTTAGTTTATATTTATGATGGCAGCGCGTTGTTTTTGTTGGTATTCGGATATTTGGTGCGCGTTTGTGTGGCTTTTGTGTTCATGTATGCATGGCATTGTATGTGTGAGTGTGTGTGTGTGCGTTATTAAACTAGTATTTGTTTTATAGCCTGTAATTTGGGCGCCATACATTATGCGCCGCATTCAAAGTCGCCGCATACTATCGCGTTCACACTTCTTCCTATTCACTACAAATGCATTTGGATTTTGATTTGCGTTTTGCTTTCGCATATTAAATAACAAATTTCATTTCCGTTTTAATTGCACAGCGACTGGCTCGTTGCATTATTAAGTTGCCTAATTTGATCGATGTTTGCATAATTACTTTCAAACACACATACACATATGTACATACTATATATAGAAATAATTGAATTTGTCTGGGCTTAATATAAAGAAGAGTAGCAATTTCAACAATAATGCCAATAGTAAATATCCACTTTCTCTTAAGCAATTACAATAACCAATATGAGATTTTAAATGTGTGGGTCGACTTTGGTCAACTCTCTCTTAAAAAAGGCATTTGCAGTAGAGCCTATTTACTTGTATTCATTTTTCAGTCAACAATATGAAGCTATACAAGTTACAAAAACTAAGTGTCCTTAAAAATGCACAACAATTACTAAAATTGTAAACCATTATACAATTTTTGGAATACAATAATCATAAATTTGAAAGAACATCATAGAATTGTTGGCATACAAAAACCTATAATTGAAACACAAAAAAGAATCAATTAGAAACACTGATAAAAAATTGCAAATTCGATCTGCAAAAACTAATAGTGAATGTCCAAAATGAAGACAATTTAAAATAAGAATCGCCAAGGTTTAGATGTATGTATGTAAAAGTTAAATATAAATTCATCGATTTTTCATACATATTTGCAAAGTTAACAAAATTTATACTTTAACTTTTTTCATTTCGATACAGATTTCTCTTACAAGATATGAAAGCTTCAAAAAATAAATGAACAAAAATGTTAATTAATGCCTCCGACAAGTTGGCCAGCTATATCCCGATTCACAGTCAAATTTAGTCATAGTCGTTCTAGATCTAACAAACTAAACAATAGTAAATGTAGGGGAGAAAATTACATTTTAATTAAGAACTTATTATATCAGAAACAAAAAGAAGAAAAGAAAAATGTACAACCCGATGGGTGATTGATTAACTGCCATTACATAAATTTACTGTTCAAATACAAATTACAACTTACTTTGACATATTTCGTAGATTTTGGTAATTTTCTGAACTAATCTTGACGGACTGTCATTTAGGTTAGTAATGTTGAAAGGACCGATGCTTGGACTATAACAATAATGGAAGACGAAGCAATCGCTTGAGTCAAAATCAAAATTTTAATGTTTATTAACATCACTACGCAAACACTACACAAGTAAGGTAAGTATTTGACCCAATCAGCTACAGCAACTCAACGAAGTATACTTAACTTAGCATTATTACCTTGCCAATCCGGAAACAGCTGAAAAGGAATTGCAAAGGAAGAAATTAACAGCGGAAGGCGGCGATGACATGGTGTCGGGATAATAAAAATAATTATAATTTTCTCCAAGCCGCAAAATCTGTTGATAATAGCATAGTTAATGAATTAACTGGCAATTCAATGCTCTTATATTCAAATGTAGTTATGTATATGTATATATTTGCACAATTTCTGTGATTTCTTAGAATTTTTTCTTACTATAAAAAAGTGCTTGCCAAATTTAAAAATGCAGGATTCGTATAATTTTTAAGGGTTATGCATAAAGTATTGCACTCATTTTTTTGCACTGTATTTAAAAATGCATCCACAACTTTTTTGCCTTTTGTTTTTTCCTTAATTATTTTTATATATACATTTTAAATTCATTTATCTATATGTAATAGTGTTCTTTAATTTTTTGTTATTTTTTTCTTATTATTATCTTACATAATTCCCTTGTTCGTTCGTCTGTATTTCCATATGAGCAGTGGGAACTTTTAAAGCACAACAACTAGGAACCCAAAACATGGCATGTAGACCTTTCTCATCCCTACAAATCGGTTCACTGATATGTACATATAGTATATCATACAAGTATACATAGATCCCTTAGAAATTAAATTTGAAATTTGTTTTAGCTGTTCTCCTCGTTTCGTTAATGATTTTGTTTTTTATTATGTGGCCCAAAAATCTGCTTTCGAAAAAAGTTGCCAGTTGATGTCGGTTGTGGGAAAACTCTACTGATTTGCTACTAATATAGTGCACTTAGCCACATTCATGAAAAGCTGTAGCTAAAAAGTTTAAAGTGGAGACTTCAATTTCGAGCAAAAGGAAATTAATTAAATTCCCCCTAGGGCGACATTAAAATTGCGTGCCAGCAGTTTTGGCCTTCTACCGTGTGCCGAGTTAATTACAAAATATGTATCTTTATACACTCAGATACAAGTACACAGACAGGCACAAGCAATCGCACAAACAAGCTGCAAAAGAGCTGAAAATGAAAACAGTTGGCCGACCGGCAACAGCAACAATAACAACAAGTTGACAACCGCAACGGCTACAAGCGACTAATTTTGAATGCAACCGAAAAAGCGGCAACAACGAAATAAGAGAAGTGGCTTACAATTTCAAAAAATTAAATCAGAGTTGCGGTTCAGCGCAAAACATGGAAGCAGCCACATACACCCACAGATGACACACACAGACACTCACACACACTCATACCTACATACGCACATGCACACAAATATTTGCATGCGGCAAATGCATGAGCACCAAATACGTTTATAAACACCCGATATACAAAACGCAATGGAGGCAACAACAGCATGAGGAGATAACGAAAAGTTGTTTAGCAACCGTTTTGGGTTGATGTTGTTGTTTGCGCATTTTTTGTTGTTCCTTTTTTATATTTTGTACCGTTGCACTTGCTAACGACTTTCCTCGCACACACATACACATATAGACGTAGGACTGCTAGCAGCGACAGACTGCCTGCCTGCCATTGAATTGGGATGCTGGAACCCATACATACATGCATTAAAAAAATGTACGTCCAACATTTTTGGGCAACATATATAGTATGTGTGTGTGTGTATTTTGCTCGTTGTGCCTTTTTTCTGGTTGTACTCTTCATTTTCGTTTTTGTGTTGGAGGTGTCATTATTTTGCTGCAGGCTAGTGACAATATTTAACACACGTCAGCCTCGTGCTGTTCATTTTAAAAATTAAACATTCCACTAGGCTAGAATCGCATTGGCAAATAAAACTAGTGTGCCAAATAGACCTTTAACATACTGCAAATAAAACGAGATACAAATACAGCCCATTTATATATGGTATGTTAAAAGTATGTCTATGGGAAGGGACTAGACAGTTAACGTAAAGTAAATAATCCGCTAAGTTGTAAAATTTGTGAGTCGGGTTTTAAAGTTTGAGCTTTAAACTTAAGACATAAAAAGTGTTTTAAAACCGTCTTCAAATGTTGGTTCTTAATGTCTTGAATTCGAAGCCGATTAAGAAACATAATATAATAAGTAAAAACTTGCAAAATAGGGTAAACAAACATTTGAAAAAGATAAAAATATATTATTTAGTGTATCTCCCTTAATGAGACTCTAGACTTCTCCAAAATTTAATGCTTTTGGACAATCCCCTGGTCGATAGAATTTGCTGTTCCCCTAGCTCAAGTACTGCGCTGGCAGATCATTTCTCCCGAGGCTTCAGTGCGTTTCTTTTTGGGAGTCTGCAGCGGACTTAGACTGTGCTCTTTAAAAATTAAAATAAATAAAACAAGTTTCTTTAAGTGAATATTCAATATTGCATATCCTGAAAAGTCCCGTCTTTTGAACAGTATTTAAAAATACTTGTAAAATTGAAATGGTGATTAGTTCCAGGAAATTTCAAATGAGCCAGACAGACTTTTTATCTTATACTTATTATGAATTCCTTTTTCAGCGTTGCCGAGCTATGAGGACAAATTAAGATAGATACATATATTAAGTTCATAGCTCAAGAGCTAAATTCTTTTGACATCATTTTGCTGCATTTTGTGCCACATTGCTCCCATTTCTCTCAAGCGAAAAACCTCATTTCAGTTTCAGTACTCTTGGAAATGTCTTCGTTTACTGCTGTCCCAATGCACAAAATGCCGAATACATAATTTTGAAAATATATAACATAAATTTGAGGCGCCCACATCCCCCTGCTTGGCCACAGATTCAATGGTTGCGGGAGGCGAGCTTTCACTTTTCGCGTTTAAATTAATCCTCCGAGAGTGTTGCCCGCTTCGTTTTGCTTCGCAAATTATCGTTCCCAAGTTGTGTAGACAAATGTGCCAAGAGTCTGCGAACTACAATATACTTGGTATGAATATTGTGTTGCGAGCATATTCTTTCTTCACTTCTTGCATTTCTTGCAACTCGATATTGTCCTCCTCCTTCACTCTTTGCTTTCTTCCTACTGTGTGTACGATGTGAAAGCGGGTTCGTTATTGCTGCTGCAGGCGCATTTCTAATTAAGCAACGTTGACAAAAGTGCTCAGCAAATGCGTCTCCATTGTGTGATTAGCGTATAACTACAATATATATTCTCTACATCCAGCTATGTTGTTGCTGTATCTAATACTGTTGTTACTGCTATACTGCTATACGACTATATATACATATATACACACCAATAAAAGTTAATTACACGCTCGCAATTTACTAATGTAAATTAATTAGTAGTTGTAACCCCAATTGGTGACTGTGGTGATTAGTTCATTAAACTGAAAGTTTTGCTGGCGTGCAAAGTTGCGCAACAACAAAAAGTTTCGATGTCATTTCGGTGGAGCTGATCAAAACCAAACAGTAAAAAAGCAGCTCATTAGCGCTTTTGCCAACAACTCTTAACTAAATCAAACTAATTTTTATATCAAGCATGCCACACCACGTTGTAACGACGCTGGCAGTGAATATCGTATTTTTTTTTTATTGCACTACCTTGGTCAAGCAGTGCTTCGGCTGCTTATGTACACACACTGCTTGTGTAGTTACGATTTGAATTAGCGTTATGTTTTAGCGTCAACTGCCTACGATCACATTTTTTTTTTGGCCTTAGTTAACAAGATAAACAAATTTTCTCAATTGTTTTTACTTATTTTAAAGGGAGTTAATTTTCTGCAACCGCACGGCTATCGGCCACCTATTGTTTATTTTCATTGTTGCACAGTGGCAATATTTGCGAGTTGTCAGTGGCCCTTTCTTTAACCTTGACCTGTCGAAAGGAAATTGTCAAAAGAGGTGTGAAGCAATTTCCGTAAAAGAAAGTTTTCTTGCTTGGCCTTAGCATCCGGATCTTTCTTTTTACTTCGAGATCGCCTAGAGGAAGGTTGTGCATTATCCACGCTAACGGGGTTATCAACTTTTTGGTTATACAGATTATATTTGTACCTATAACCTACAACCTAATACAGCAACGATAGTATTAACAGCGAATAAAAAAGTATATAAATTGGCGAAAACTAAATTGGAGGATTCTATTGTCGAAAGGATTTTTCTGCATGGTGCCACTTCCGGACATCGGGTAAATTTTATTTTTCTCGTTTCTTCGCATTTGGAATGCAAATTCTAATTCACATTTTTTTCGATTTACATTGTTTTCGTGCAGAATTGGCACTTAATAATTAGTCCAATCCAATAGGGCATTAACCTTTGCCTGTCGCTTTGATGCGCGCATGCTAATGCAGCGACTAGGCTAAGGGAGGGGTACGCCAGACGAAGGCGTGCCAGAGGTAAGATCGGCTTTCCGATCAGGCCACTGGAACGGCGAGAAGAACCGTCTCTGCAGTTTCGTGGGTCATATCGTCTATGACGGACGTCGCCTAATAACGGAGTGCGAGTGATTTTTTTGTGTTGTCTTCGGTGAAACCTGTGCCTGGGCAATTGGCAAAGCCCCGTTGTGTTGGTTGGAGGCCCGTGGGAAAGAAAAAGGCATAAATTAGCCTACCCCAACCTTTAAAGGCAACATTATATATATATCCACATATATATTTATATATGTGTCCAGCGCAAAAATGAACTTCTCTAGTGCGCTTATTATTCTTTAATTTTTTTTTCCCCTGTGTTAAATCCAAATTTAAATGTACATATGTGTAACCACGCGAGCAAAGCAACTCGGCATGGCGTGATGAAGTGGGAAAGAATATACCTAAGTGAAAACAAAAAAAAATAATACACAAAGCAAAATTCGTTAGCTACAAATGTGTATGTGCATGGCGACAATTTTTTTTCTGGTTTGTTTAAAAAAAAACACGTTAAAGCCCACCCAGTAAATATCGAACATAAACTTTAGTACAAAAAAATTATGCATGCAAGCAGCGGTGAGCCCACACAGCGCGTCCCCCCCGAAAGATCTTTCGACGTTGGACAAAAACTGTAAGTACAGCCGTTTTAATTTTTATTTTTCATACTTACTTGCGTGCATGCGTACGGAAGTGATCAGCTGTTCAATTGGAACACAGGCTTGCCTGCTAGGCATAAAAACAAACTTAACGCCTTTATGCCAAGTCTTGGCTTTTGTTTCATAATTCTCCTATTATCGGCACGCACATAAACATCCCAAAAGGGGAAAATGCATGAATTTATATAATTCAAATATTTGTTTATATTTTCTTACC